TTCCTCTTATCCTGCAGATGTCAGACCTGCCACCTCTTCCGGAAGGCCGTCTCTGACCACAGTGGCTGAAATAGCTGCCCCTGCCCCTTTCCAAGCTACTTCCTGTCCCCTCAGCCTTTTTATCTCCCTGGTAGCATTTTACAGGGTTGGGTTGTTTTCCTGCATTGCCAGGTGACTTGCTTCTCATCTGTCTCCCCTGCTAGGAGCTCCCTGGGGCTGAGGTCTGCCTTCTTCCTAGGTAAGTGCTGGCGCAGAGGAAAATCATGTCAGTGACTCCCCTCGCTGGGCCTCAGTTTCCCCATCTGTGATATGGGCAGATTGGACTAGCGTCATTCAGCCAGTGGAAAGGCATTTCCTGAGCACCTGCCATGTTCCAGGCACTGGTGCTGGGGGGCAGGCAGTGACAGAAAAAGCCCTCATTCCAGACCTGAGAAGCTGACAGTCTAGAGACACGTGGGGACAGGACCTACAGGCTAGCGTAATCAGCACTCTGGGTGGGGAGCCGGGAGTGCAGGAATATGGGGGATACTGCTATTCTCGGGGTTCAGGGAAGGCTTCCTGGAGGTGGTGATGATAAGAGATGCAAGCAGGTGGTCAGGCAAGGGGGCACGTGGAGGACAGTGCTTCCGGTGGACGGAAGAGCCCGAGCGAAGGTGTGTTAGTGTCTGTGTCATTCACAGCTCTCGGGACCCTTCATAGTTCCGGGCACAGGGAGGGGCTCAGTAAAGTTGGGGAGGTTGGTTTCACAGCACATCTGGGCCCCGCCTGCCCAGAGATGCCCACTCTGCCGCCCTGGGGCGTCTGCTCCGCGGTGTCCCTCTGTCCGCGGTGTCCCTCTGCCGGCCAGGCCTGCGCTGGGCTGGCCTCTCCAGCCACATGAAAGGCTCGGGATATTTTTTGCCCAGAGGACAGGCCCCAGTGGCCTCAGGGGTTGTGTAATTAGAAGTGGTTCTGAGCCCACGAGAGACGGGAGCTGGGGGCTGCGGTGGGCCAGGCAGCCCATTCCAGGCCCAACCGGGGAGGACCCTGGCAGAGACTCAAGTCAGGGTCAGGTTTTCCTCCCTCTTCCCTGCCTCCTTGGCCGAGGCTACCCAGCAGGGCGGAGGTCACAGCTACTAATTGCATGGTGGGCACAGGGTGGGGTCTCTAAATCACTTCAAGTCGGTGCAGAGGACCCATTGCTCTCTGCCTCTGAAATTACAGGTTGCCAGCGAGTGTCCTGGCCTGCTCCATACCACAGGCCTGCCCGTGCCCCTCGGAGCCGTGGCGGTGTGGGCCGTGGGGATCACCTTGGGCCAAGCCCCACAGCATGTCCTGGAGCTGGAGAATGTGGAACGGGAGGCCCTCAGGATGGATGACGAGTGACTGGAGCCTGGGAACACGAGAGTGGAGGGCAGAGTAGTCACTGCCATGGCAACAAGCATTTACGGAGCCCCCACGGTGCTTCAGGCACTGTCTGAGATGCTGGAGCTGCAGCAGAGCACAAAACAGGCCAAGTTCCCCGCAAACCTGGTTCATCAACTTTTACTCAGTAATAATCTTCAGGAACTGCTCTGAAGGTGCTGGGGTCCTGTCTACCTCAGGGCCTTTGCACGTACTGTTCTCACTGCTAGGAATCCTCTTACATCCTTGCCTTCCTAAATACCTCCTCCTCATCTTCATGAGGAACTCCACTTTCCCTTCCTTGTGGAGGACCTCATGAGCTCCAGGACCAGACTAATCTCCCAGACTGGCCTCCCACAGCCAGGGAAATGCCTCATCCCAACTCTTAGCTCAGTTTGCAGTTAGATATTCATTTCTTTGTTTACTTGCTTATTGCAGGCCTCCTCTCTCTGTGCCAGTGTTTGCTCATCACTGTCTCCCAGGACCTGAACCTCGGCTGGGTGTAAAGTAAATGCTCCAGAAATGTTTGTAAAATGAATAAAATTTAGAATGTTGGAGCATGGGAATATTAGTGCTGGCAGGCTTGTGGTGGGCATTTAGACCAACCCCATATTTATCTGCAGCCCAGAGAGGGGCAGAGATTTGCCCAGCCACCCACTGTTGATGTGTGAATGGGGGCTGGAACTCAAGGACCCTTTTTTCTCCCAACTATAACAGATATTTTTGTTGTTCTGTGCTCAGATTGTGGGTTGGGGTGTTTGGCCTCAGGAGACTCTGTGTGTGTGTGTGTGTGTGTGTGTGTGTGTGTAAGACATGGTCTGAAAACCTTTAACAGGGCCACTGGCCTGGCAATTTCATTTCCAGATCAGACACAGGGGCCGGAGGCTTCTGATCCCCAACACCCTGTTGGATCCTGAGTAGGTCACGCTGCCGTGAACCTCAGTTTTCACATCTGTCAAATGGGCTTTGCTCACCCATTCACTTCTTTCTCCCCAAGCACTTATGGAACCCCACTGGGTTTGAGGATCCAAGACAGGCTCTATGTGGGGAGGAAAACCCAGTGCTTTGGAGGGTGGAGGATTCCAGCCAGATCTACAAGGAACAAGTAGTAATATTCAACCGTGGTATGCGAGACAGAATGACCCCTCTCCCAAAGATGCCCACATCCTAATCCCTGGAACCTGTAACTATGAATACATCACCTTACCTGGCAGAAGGGATTTGCAGGTGTGATTAAGTTAAGGCTCTCAGGTGGGGAGCTGGTCCTGGATTATCCAGGTGAGCCCGATGTCATGCCAAGGGTCCTTAAAAATGGAAGAGGGATTAGAAGAGTGAACCAGAGAGATGGCATCATGGAAGGACTCAGCCCCTGCAGCTGGCTCTGAAGGTGTCTATGAGCTGAGGAATGCAGGCAGCATCTAGAAGCTTGAAAAGGCAGCGATGATAAAAACTATAAGATGATAAGGGTTTGGTTTGGTTTTGTTTTGTTAATGGAGGTACTGGGCATTGAACCATGCCAAGCACCTGCTCTACCACTGAGCTATGCCCCTCCCACCCCACCCCTGTGTGTTGTTTTAAGCCACTAAGTTTTCAGTACTTTGTTACAGCAGCAGGCGGAAACTCATACCTCAGCATCTGGCCACTGCTTTTGTATTGACCAGCACGGTCACCTGCCCTGGCTCCGCTGATTCTCCCCAGCAGCCTGATGAACAGAAGAAATTCTGTCCTTGTTTTACAGGTGATGAAGCAGAGGCTCCATTGGGGGCAGGACCTGGTGAAGGTGGGATTTGAACCCAGGTCTGTCTGCCTCTAGGTCTGGGGCTCCTTGTGGGGGTTGCTCTGGCCCCAAAGGAGGAACACAGAACAGGACCCCAACTTAGGCTGGGACCTCTGGGCCACCGTGCTGGGAGCAGGCCCTGTTCAGGTTGGCTGAGCCCCTGTTCCTTGATTCCCCAAAGCCTTCAGACTGTTGGGGCAGGGGTTTCTGCCCCAGCGGCGGGCTCTGGGGCAGGTCTGGCCGCTCTTGCCGCCTGCTGTCTGGTCTGAGGCAGGGTAGGTGGGGCTGGGACACCCCCTGGCCATCCTGAAGTGGGCTGCTACAATATGTCTGTGAGGGGCAACTTGCACCTGGGGGCATGTGTGCGCATAAGTGTGTGTGTGTCCATTGGTGGACGGTCCCCTGTTCCCTTAGGATGCAAGGTTTGGGGTGATCTCAAGAGAAGAGGGGAAATCCTCTGGTTTTATTTTCCAAGCTGCCCCCTCTTTTGGGAGGTGAGTAGGGGCTGCTGGGACCATCGAAGGGAACAGCGACAACCTAAGGCCCTGGTCCCTAAAGGTGGGGTATGGTCTGGTCCTTTGTGCACTCCCCCTGCTCTGAACCTTCACTGGCTCCCTATGGCCTTCTGGATGAATGCCCTTCTGAGACTTTAGCCCGGCTCCCATGACCTCTCCCATCTTCATTATCTGCTCCTCCTTCTTGTCCATTTTGTGCTCCAGCCCAGTTTAATTATAGCCCCTTGTCCATGTGTGGCATTCCCAGCTACCCTGCCTTTACTAAGCACGCTGGTCCTTCCTCTGGGATGCCTTTCCTGGATCTCCTCATGTTAGGACTGTGCTCATTCACAGCCACGTCCTCTAGCGTGACTTCCCTGCCTCTTTCTCTCAGTGGACCCCTCTCCATCCTGGGGGTCCCCCCAGCCCTTGGCCTGGCCTCTCTCCTGCCACAGATCTGTTTCTGTTTTGTAAAAAGGTAATTTACACATGTGTAAATTACTTCTCCTTGGAAGTCTGCAACCTCCTTGAGGGCTGGGCTTTGTCTGATTCACTTCTGCAACCAGCCTTGTGTAGTGCCTGGGGCACTAGAGGTGTTCATTAAGCATGTGATGAATGAATGAATGAATGAATGCAAACTACTGACCCATGGGATTCCGCAGGTCATCCAGAGCCCGGTTCTCAGTCCCCTGATTGAACCTCTTGAATTCACCCTGCCTCACTTTCCCCATCTGTGAAATGGGGCCACAACTCCTGCTCTGGCCTTTCCATCTGGGGGTCTTGCAAGGCCACAGAGCTCAGCACGTCAGAGCCAGAGGGAACTCAGAAAGCTTCCCACCCACCCCTGCCATTGGGGAATCTGAGGCCTGGAGAAGGGAAGGGCCTGACTAGGGCCAGAAAGCAGACACCAGAACTCACTCTCTGCCTTAGGCCTGACCCTCCATGAGATCCCTGAAACACAGCCCGGCTCCCACTCTGCGCCCTGAGCCTAGGAAAACCTGAGTCACAGCTGGAGCTGAGCGCAGGGAATTTTCCTCTTCACTTCCAAGGGTCTCGGAACCTCCCCGACCTCGTCCCTTTTGGAAGGAGGGGGCAGGACCCCAGCTCACAGGGCCTGGGTTTGTGGCAGGACAGCCCTGTCAATGTGCCTGCCGGCCTCAGCCTGCCCCGGGGACCTGCGGTCAGTGGGGAAATGCCCCACTGAGTGTACCCCGCGGCGTGGAGGGGGCGCCTGCAGGGCGTGAGTGAGGGGGGATTGTGTGTGGCCGAGCGAGGCCCCGCCCCTCCCCCTGTCCCCACCCCAAACCCACTTAATGAAATCAAGCTGGCCCCGCGGAGCTGGGAGGGAAGAAGGAGGCGAGGGAGGCGGGAGGGCGGCAGCCCAGAGCCGCAGCCACCGGGCACTGCCACAGACCCTCTCGGCTCCACCTGGCGGGAGCACCCTGTGTGCGGAGGGACTGGTAAGTCTTGGGAGACCCTGCTCTCTCCGGGGAGCTAGGGGGGAGTCTTGGAATTTAGAGGGCCAGTGTGAGCGCTTTGGGGAACTTCTCTAAGTATGTGCGGGCACCGAGTGTGTATTGGATGCTGTGTTCGAATGTGATCTGTGCTAAGGTGGCGGGTGGCGGGACGTGTGTGTGCCTGGGACGCAACCTGAGTGTGGAGCTGGATTGGCCGGAGTGTGGTGTGTGTGCGTGTGGTTGTGTGTGTGTGGTAGAGGCCTTGATGTCGGGGATGTGTTGTTCCTGGAAGATGGGTGCTGGGGTGGATGGTCCCAGGGTCCTCGGGAGGGTGGTGTGGCTGGGGGTGGTCTGGTCTGTGGGGGTCCACGGAGTGTCAGGGGGTGCGATGTGCTCACGTTATCACACAACCAGCTCGTTGTGTATCTGTGTGTTCTCTGTGCCCGAGGGCCTCGTAGCCCTCTGGGGTACCGGTTTGTTGTGTGTCTGGGTATTTTGTGCCTGTGTTTTGTGTCCCTTCTGCTGTTGCCCTCTGTGTGTGTGTGGATTTTGAG